AATAATTCAACATTTACTAATGTCATACTAAAACTTTTTCAAAGAGCATTGCTTAAAGCAAAGTGTTGAGTTTTTGAAGCACTACAAAAAACCTTCAGTGAAATACATTGTAAGTAGTGAACACTTTGTCACTCGGAGCATCATGAGTGAAGACAGGTCTGCTTTATATGATGTCATCAGGACACTCCAATATAAAAACTGCTGGGTCAGTTTTTAGATTTTATTCTAATTCACCATGTAGTTAGTAATGTCTAATTCTAAATAACTAGAGTTATGTATTACTAGGGTTAGCTATTACTTGCTGTAGACATGCAGACATTTTACACACAGATTACATTGAGGAGGTATCCAAATCAATCAATAAAAAATTTCCATCTAAGTATCATCTCTGACATGAACACTGAACTAAGACATCTCTCACGAGTCAGGAGCTGACAGCGCATTGAAGAGTTATGGACGGGATGCTGTCAGAAAGCAGAAGGGACCAGAAAACATCAATTCAGTTCATTCCACTGGGGTCGCAGTCAGGAGTGGAGAAGAAATTACAGGTTTTCATCTGGTTGATGTCTGATGGCACAATGTTGATTCTCTGTTCAGCTTGTTGACTATTCATTAATCTGAATAGAAAATTAATGTAATTACATTTGTCATTATTTTTACTTATTTAGTGACAGATAACAACAGATTATGATAGAATTTTTTGAGGTCGTCAGTCAAAATGACAGAAGGAGGTTATGATATGTATCGGCTTGCAGATTTTCTTGTTATTGGTTGATTTATTTTCCTTTTTTGCTGGGTTCATGAAGGTTTTTGGGATCAATCTTATTTCATTTTGTGATATAGTTTTGAATACATAGAAATTCTCCTGAAGACAGTTTTTCAACACCTTTTGGATTTTATTGTCACTCACAGCTTTATTGTGCCTGAGGCAGTAGAAGTCAATGACAGTGCAAAGCTGCTCTGTGTGGTTGGCCCACCTACGTTGAAGCATTCTTCCTGTTGCCGCCAACTAAACACAAGTCTTTGAGAAAAGACAGAAAGCAAACCTGAGGAGTAAACACACACACTTCCTGCAGAACAAGTACAAGAACAGGATTTGTGTTCACCTGTATAAGAACAGCTTTACTGATTTACAACAGCAGCTAAAATAATATTCATTTGTAACAGTTTGAAAAGATATTCAACAAACAGTTTCATTTTTGTGATCTCAAAAATGTTTTTCCTGTACATTTAAAAAGGTATAGAAACATAAATCTGACAGAAATTCTCTTTTATGTTCAGCTTACCGTATTTTTCAGACTATAAGCTGTTACTTTTTTTTCCCCATGCTTTGAACCTTGTGGCCGCTGTGGCTATTCTGTGGATTTTTAATTGATGCTCTGTTGTAGGAAGTGAATCATTGGAAGTCAAAATTGGAAATCAAAGACAAGAGCACTAATTTTCATTTAGCACATGCTAACAGCAGGCATGATTGAGAAAATTCTTCAAACTCATACCCCCTCATGAAAAAGTTCACATAATGCTGCTTCTAAGTTCAGGGCTAATTTTTCCTTGTCTTTCTCCCAAGACATGGGAAAAATGTCTTGTTATAAGTGAAATAATCTGCCAGTGGAACTAGTAATTGATCAATGTTAAGGAATTTTTGACAAAAACAAGCTTGCTGAAAAGATCTTTGTAAGTTAGTTTTGTCTTATTTCAAGTGTAATGAGATACTTGCATTAGAAAGTAGACAAAAATACAAGATTTCATTACACTAGAAGTGTAATGAAATCTTGTGTGCTTTTGTTACTGCAATTTAAAACTGAGTTTTCCAGCTGAAACATTCAATTAACTTCAACAAGGTATCAGAATAGGGCCCAGCATTCGCTAGTATATTGTTTTACTGTTCAAATCAAATTTAATTTGTTAAAAGACTTGATTTGTATCTAAACAAAGGCCTGGATGGGGGGATTTGTATTTATCAAACCACTGAACTGTTCTTTTCATTGGTTAAAGAGGAACACTTCTTCTGTCATCACTAAAAGCAGCTCTTTAGATCTCCCCTTTTCCTTAAACTGTGTTACTTTCTTCTGTTTTGATGTTTCAATATAAAATCTGCTACTGTTGAAGTGAAAAAAGTCCAATATTTGACATTTCACTGAATGGCTTGGGGCTGATTTTTAAAATGATTCTAGGGGGCGCTGATGAAGAATTAGCCCACGCCCACCAAATATTTGACCAGATTCCTGTTGGTGGGTGAACAAGGATCGATCTCAGCTAGTTTGGTGCAGCTGAGATCTTACATGGGAAAGTTATTCCACCTTCATGTTTCATGGCAAATAGCCAGATTTGAGGCTTGGCCACGCCTACATGCTTTGATGGACGAAAATTGCTTTGACAACTATTGACCCTCAATGCCTCAAGACTGTGCTTACTGAGTTTGAAGCCTACATACTTCAAAGTCACTCAGCATACTCTTCAATCAAACCATGTGGGTGTGGCTAAGTGTCAAACTTTGACTATTCGCCATAAAACATCAAGGTGCAAAAACTTCCACATACTGCATCAGACTTCCTATGTCTCACTACAGACTAGTCCTCATCACATTCACGGGGTCAACTGATGACATGAGAACAGGAAGTGTCATGTTTTACTATGAACGGTCTCTATCTGACCCCTTTGAACATGAAACAGTATCCAGAGACAGAAGACATGTTGGATTCCAACCCTGTCTGGTTTCAATGGAGCAGGTGGGCGTGGCAGCGTGGCGAAGTGACCTGTAATGCCGTTGCCATACGTTTGGCTCTAAATTCCAGTTTCTAGCCCAACTGGATCAAACTCAGTAGGATGAATCCTTATGCAACCCCAAAAAGGAATCCATAACAGTCGTTGATGGGTATGGCCGAATTTCTCTACAACACCCAATATATAAAAAAAAAAAATTAGTCTCAAGTCATGCTTTAACCTACAAAAATGACACTTGGTACACGTGTATCGAGTAAGAACCTACAAAAAAATCTCTTGGAGCCATGATCCAAACCCAACAGGAAGTCGACCATTTTGGATCAAAGTTGACATGTTCCTTTTTACTGATGTCGTATCCGATCGAACTCGACCTACAGCGTTGGACATACAGACTTCAAAATCACTAAGCACACTCTTGAGGCATAATAGCTTAAAAGTTATCCTACAATTTTTTTGTACATCAAAGAATGTGGGCGTGGCTAAGTGTCAAACTATTCGCCATAAAACATCAAGGTGCAATAACTTCCACAGGAAAAGTCAGAACTGCATCATACTTTCCATGTTTCATTATAGACCAGCCCTGATCACGTTCACTTGGTCAAGTGGTGACATCGCCTAAACCCCGCCCTCTTCCTACAGAAAGTAACCTGCTTTGTTCTGCTGGATGTTTTACTTTCACTGTATGATTCAAAGGGGTTTAATCCTGTGCCAACTGACATAAAATGAAGTAATGATGAACTCTGTCAGTACTGGCTGCTGACTGAGCCATGTGGGCGTGGCAGAACCGTGAATTTCAGTCCCTCGCTGTTTGCATACGATTGTCTCTAAATCACACATGCATCATCCGATTTATACCCAAATTGTGATTGACTCTTGTGAATTTCTAGAGCTCATTAGCATTGCATTGTAATTTGACTCTAATGCGCCCCCTAGGTTAATGCATCAGCTAGCTATATCTCCTCACCACATCAGCTGATCTGCACCAGATCATCTCAGATGCAAGAGCATCGAAGGAGGTGAGACCTGGCACCACCCTCGGTGCCAGGTCTCACCTCCCTGGCACTGAGGGCGGTGCCAGGTCGCCAATAGGGCTGTGTGGCGCTGAGCTACGAGGGCCGTTCGAGGCTTTCAGCTTTAATTCTTGTTATGGTTTCTATACTTAGGTTCATTTTACTGTTCAAATCTAATCAAATTTATGTGATTAGCACATTTCAGCAACAAGGCAGTTCAAAATGTTTTATATCATAAAACACAAAAATCAATAAAACATTTTCCAAGTACCAACATTACACATCAAAATGATGGTCAATGTTTCATTTTTTATGATTCAAAAGCAACTCTAAGCAGGAGGGGTTTTAGTCTAGCTTTAAAGTAAGTCAGTGTTTCAGCTGTTTTGCAGTTTTCTGGAAGTTTGTTCCAAGTTTGTGGTGCATAGAAGCTGAATGGTACTTCTCCATGTTTGGTTCTGGGGATGCAGAGCAGAACCAGAAGAGCTGAGAGGTCTGGAAGGATATAAATATATGGATGCATGCATTTGGCTGTGACTATGTATGTATGCATGTAAGTGTATATATGTGTATGTTTTTTCACTATTAATTTTCTTTCACTATGTTTTGCTATTGGAGATGTTCTGCTTGTTTGTGTTCAGGAACAAACATGTTTGGAAGTTAGTTCAAAAACATATTTGTTCCTGAAAACATGCATCTTAAAGTCAATGATGTAAACAATTTGTTTATGGGAAACAATTTTGTATTAAAATATACTTGGTAAATGTTTTGGTTTTTGCAGTGTACCATACCTGCTCCAGCTGGCTAGTTACTGGTGCCTGTCTATCATTAAGTAACAGCCCTCACTGGGTTAACAATATTCTTAATTTTGGTGGTGAAATTGCACCATATTCCATTAATTTCTTGCACATTATATATAGCACTGACTCAATCCCAATCAGATTTACAAAAATAGGCCTAGGGTGAAAACAGCAATATAAATTTGATCATTTTTCCCCTGACCGCACATCACACACTGCTATTTAGAAAGTACAAAGTGATCAGCGAAAAAAACAATATAAGAGCAAGTCTTTCTTTATTGCACTCAAACATGGAAATTTTTAACAACAACCTTTTATTTATAGTTTAAAAAGTACCTATTCTTTTCATTTTAAGTATCACATCCCGATAAAAATGGTTTGGGGTTCAAAAGATTCTAAAATTATTATTATTACTGTATGTCATGAAGTGGTGAAGTGGAGATGGTGAGGCAGACGCTGGAGACCCAGGTAGGTGAATGGTGAATATTTAATGATGAAAAATAGTCCAATAACAACAACAAACAGTCAAAGACGTAGTCCGCGGCCAGGCAGCACGACTGAGCGGAAGCCAGGGCTCAACGCCGGTAGCAACTGGTCTTACAGGCGGCTAAACAACACAAAACGGCAGACAAAGGCAAAAGTACGACAAACAACGACAAACTGACAAACAACGACAAGGACCCGACGAGGAACAAAGGACACAGGAGGGACTAAATACACTGAGGGTAATCAGGAGAACAAGACACACCTGGGAACAATCAAGGGGAAGACAGGACAACTAGGAGAACTCAGGACACAGAAACTCAGAATTAAACACAGAAAAACACAGAACCTGACACTGTAGGACAATTGTCCTGAAAAGATTGGCTTCTCGTCTCTGAAATCAATATAGCAGCACAACTTAAATTCTGACACAATGTCGTTTTGACAGATGACAGCAAAAATGAGAGGTCTGACCATGTCAAGACGAAAAGAAAAAGAGCATTTCAGCAGAAACATCTCATACTAATGATCATGTTTATCTGCAGGCACAAGACTTGAATATCCTTTGTACACCAAAGTGTTTTAGTTAGTCCCTAGTCCATCTGTCCAACAGCTGGATCTGGTCATCAAGGGAACAATAATCCCCAACACAGCGGCTAATCAACAACAGAATGACTGGAGAAAAGTTCAGTTGTTTCAATGAAGAAGTCAAAGCCCAGATATCAGCCTGATTTAAATGTGGTGGGACCAATCACTGATGGGGTTCTACAATATCCAGTCAACTAGTTTTTCACAAACCTTATCCAACTTGGTTTCATCTTTGTTTTATAAAAGTACAGGTAAATCAATTCTATGTTTTTCCACACACATGGTTAGTTTCTAACAATGTTTGAAGCTGGTAAAGATTCAGTACGCATCATTAGTAGGAAATAGGTTTTTTACATATTTGTAAAAATTATCTTTGTAACAGTATAACATAAGACAGGTCATGTGTGAAAAAAATTGAGCTCCTCTGTCTTCTCCCAGTGTTTCCAGTACTAATGGCAAAATTACACCACTTTGTCAGACACAACCAATCAGAGCCAGGGGGAGGGTCTTAGCACTGTCAATCAGGTTAGTTACCATAAAAACAAGTAATAAATTGGTGGTGTTTCTCCACCATTAGCACATGAAGCAGCATGTACACAAGATTGATTGACAGCTTTAAGACCCACCTCCTGGCTCTCAAAGGTTGTTTTTGACTAGGAATGGTGCATTTCACAGATCATCTCTCATATTACTTTGTCAAGACACGGTGTCAGTTTTAACAAATATGGAAAGAATATATTTTTGTAAAAGTTACAAAAATAACGAGTTCACAGAGCATGAGCAATTCTTTTCTTTGCTCTCTTTGCTGCTCCACTTCTTTTTGGCTCCAGGCTTCGCTAGATATCAGGAAGCCTTCTTGCCTAGACTCTTAGCTTTAGGCCCAAAACTAAGAGAAGGAAAGAAAAACACACACATGTGCATACACACAGATATATTGAGACAAGTTCAAATGCTCCATACTCAATTCTCTGTAGGTGAAGAAAAATATGTAACCCCTTCCATGATGTGATGTGGCTTACCTGTTCTTCCTCCCCTTATCTCTGAGAGGACAGGCCTTCCGTCGGTGCTCCAGGCTGCCGCAGCTGAAACAGCCGTTACGCCCATCAGCCTGCTGACAGGGGTGGTCCGGCAGAGCGCAGCGGCCGCAGGATGCGCAGTGGCTCCAGGCTGATGTTGGAAAAGGTTTTTTTATTCTCAACATCCAGCACAAAAAAATTAGCAATATTAAAATATCTCATGTCTTACTTGGTTTTACACATTTCCCACATGCTGAGCAGTGCTTCCATTCACGGCCATCCTCAAATCACCAACAGAAAACAGACGTTTTATTATAGACTTTAAGAAACTATTGCATTTTTAGAATACATTTATGAAGAACATATGATACCTTGGATGGACAAAGATTGCATTTAGTGCAGTGTTTGTTCAGGGAGCACACATATCTCTGACACATGGAGCAAAATCTGCAGAAATAAATACATTATGGGAAACTCTGTATGAAACACAGAGTTTAATGATGTATAACAAATACAGTGGAAATCAGAAGTTTATGTACATTTTCTCAGTATTTGGTAGCATCGTTTTTGAACTACATGACGTGGATCAAGCACTTTGGGTTTCCTTTTAGAAATATTAGAAATTCTCTACAGGATTGAGATCAGGGCTTTGTGATAGCCACCAAAACATTGACTTTGTTGTCCTTTGTAACCACTGCTCATTGTCAATTTAACTTCCAGGTTGATGTCTTTTTATGTTGCTTCAATATTTCTACATGTTCTTTTCCCTCACGATTCCATGTGTTTTATGAAATGGACCAGTTCCTCCTGTGGCAAAACGGTATCCACATGAGACTGACACCTCCATTCTTTACACTTAGGATGGTACAAGCATCCCAGTTTTTCCTCCAAATGTAATGACGGTCATTATGATCAAACAGTTCTGCTTTCAGCCAATCATTTCTTTTGGTGTAATTATGTCTTCCTCTCTGAGTGGTCTTTCAACCCATGTCAGTACAGAGCATGTTTTATTGAGATAATGGCACTGCTTCAGCCAGTTCATCTCTAGGACATAGAGCATGTCTCCTTCCTGACCGCGGTATGATGGGTGGACATTCCCATCACGTCTATGCTTGCATATAATTGTTTGAAGAGGTGAACATGGCTCCAGTCTGTCAAGCATTGGTGAATTGTTCCCATGCATGAACTGGACTAGTGCAGCTGTACTAATTCGCTTCCTGATTTCTTTTGACCTTCCCCATTGTGTCAAACCAAAGTGCAGTGAGTTCTAGGTTTTTGGTTAGTTTCCAAAGCCATGACATCATTATTGTCCTTTCTCCTCATTGCTTGGAGAGATAGTAAGAGATGTAAACTTCTTATTTTGAAAACATTAAAAAATAAATTTCTGAAATATTCTGTATTGTTGAATTTAGCAAACAGAAATAGTTTTGGCAAGTGTATGTAAACGTCTCGTGTCAACGGCAGATGTAAAACAAAACTCTTTTGTATTCGGAGTCAATGACAAGTCGATACCTGTAGCCCTCCTCCTGGGGCAGAACAATGTGTTTGGGTAGAATATTAGTAAAGAGTCTGACAGGAGACTGCCTTCTGCCCGCCTTCCCGTGTTTATAGAGAGGATGGTTGTCATAGTCCACCTTGTAAAAAAAAAAAAAAAAAAAATACATAAATAAATACAGTAAATAAAGAGAAATGATGGGTGGTGACAGATGTACAGTTTGTCCAAATATTCCTGAGAAAGGGTCAAAAACAGACTACCAATATCCACATCGCTTTGGACAAGTCCAGAATGTGTAAAAGTGTGGCTGGTGTTTATTTGCATTGATCACATGTTGGGTCCAAGTTCTTTCGAAACGTACAATATGTTTTTGGACCAATGTACTACCTTAAATTGAGCAATAACATGCCTCAGACATTTTGAGGAATAATAAATATTTGAACTGAGTCTGATATGGATTCCTCCAAGTCCATCTGCATTTCAGAGAATCCAAGTTGGTATCCAAGAGCAATGGATAAATTCTAAACATTTATTCTAATCATTTTGTGTCGAACCTACATGCCAGAATCTTATCCACAAGGGAAGTGAAAGGACCCAGAGGAAAGCAAAATGTCAATAGCAAATGCCTGAAGAACTGTGATTTATGGATATCACATTTCTGTACCAGCTATTCCTGTGAACTGCTGTCTACATAGAGATCATATAATAAATGTATTCCTTTTAGGTACCGAAGATTGAAATCTGTATCTGCTAAAAGGGGAGCAAGTATGACAATTTGATACTGGAACAGATGATAATAACTGTACTTTTAAAGGACCTTGCCCTGTGTATTTTCAGTTCATTTTTTTGTTTGAAATGAAAAACCAAAAATTTTTTGTTTATCACAACAAAATTGGATAAAATCGGCTCAGCTCGTCATCATGTTTCCCATTTAGTGCACAAAATGGAAAAAACAAATGGCGAGTGCTCAATTTTGATTTTTGACACGTGGTCTGACCCAGAAGCTCCCTTTTACTTGCACACTTTGTACACTTGTCCAAAGCAGCGTGATACCTTCACAGAGCTTATATTCTAACTTTGTTTTGTATTTAAAGCTAAAGTTGGCTTCTGAATGTAGCCTTCAATTCAGCAAATGGCTAAAGGGCTAGTCCACTCAAATTTTTCCAACTGACTCGAACTAGAGTCTTTAAACTGCTCTAGTTTAAAAACTATCAATCAATCAATCAAATTTTATTTGTATAGCACATTTCAGCAGCAAGGCATTTATTTCAAAGTGCTTTACATCATAAACACAAAAACACAAAGTCATGCAATGACTACAATTCAAGATGCTCAAACCGTGACAAGAACATTCTGCAAGCCAAACAAACCCTACAGTTTTTTAAATTTTTTATGAATAGCATAGCAGTTGTAAGATACACATGAATTAAATAAGTAACTATTGATGTGACCGATGATCACGTGGCTTTAATACTTAGGTGGTGGGTGTGTCGGTGTCCGTCACTAGACTGAATGGCTGGTTACTGGTGCACATTTGTGTCAGGAAGTTGGGTTCACAGGCTCGTCATGATTTCTGTTGACTGTGTTATGTTCCCTTATCAAATTAGCTCTAACGCATTACTGGCCTGGTCAGTCTGTGTCTCAGTCCTTGTCTCAACATCCACAGCAAGAAAATCTAAAACTAAATTGATTGATTGAACAAAGAAGTGACCTGGAGTTGGTTTGAAACTGTGTCAGACAGTTAACATTTCCTGAGTTTAACCCGCTCCGGTCCTCTTCCACCACTAACATTTATCGATTATGAAATGTTATGTCACAAACACATATGGAGAAAAGTATGATTATCCAAAAGATACAATAAAAATGTAGCTTTTTCCCCATATCTACCAAGCAGGAAAAGTTTGAAATAATGCACTAAAGATATGAGATTATTAAAAGCTAAATAAATAATAATCTAGGAAGAGGATTAGGGCCACGGATGAAAGTCAGAATTCTGACTTTAATCTAAAAAAAAAAATTATAATGCTGGTGTTAGCTAAATGTTAAGGGGCTCTAATCCTCTGCCGTGGTTTATCACCACATGATACTTTTTCACACTTTTACCAGTGAAGTATAGCTATCCAACAAAATATGAAAACCTTTGTCCCCTTCATCAGATTTGCTTATAAATTATTGGTCTCAAATGACTAAACATAATTAACTACTTTTGAGTTGATTCTCTCCATTGTTCCGTCGCTCTGGATAAGCAAGACACAAAATAATTATTGGGGCCTGCCCATAGCAATGCATTGGGAGAGGAGTGACTGACGCGTCATTGCCTCCATGCACTGGAGGGAATGACGTCTCTGTCTTTATTGGGACCTGCCATAAAAATGTATGGCAGGCACCTATTGTTCTTCACCTCCTGCCACTTCCTAGTGCCATTAATGTGGCCTGCACCGCTGCGTGGTCCCTGACAATATATATATCAAAAGCTGCAGCTCGGTCCCGTGAGGGGAGTTATTACTTTTGTTGGCATTTTGAGTAACTATGGTAACATAATTAAGAAAAAAACGAGCCAAAAACAAAAAACTAACTGACCCAAAACAGTGTCAGTTACACTCAAAATGGATAGAATTTTGTCTCCCTCTGAGCTGCTCTTTAGAACTGCAGTGATGGCAGAATGTCAGAATTACATTGTCTGGGGTTAGAATTAGCAATAGCTTTTTATCTTAAATAAAAATTTAGTTTTATCTAAACTAATAAAATGGTTATTATAACTGGCTTTAGAGGGAGTCAACTATTTGCATATATAGCTATTTGTAGGCAGTTGTGATCACAAAGCCCATAATACTGGGGGTCTGCTTTACTTCAGGTACAGGATAACATTAAAACACATCTCCTGGGAATGAAAAGGTATATTTTTCAATAAGCTGGTACCTGGTAGTCCAGCATGGTCAGTCCAGGGAGACACTCCAGGATGCGAGGCTCAAAGAAGTACGGAAAGATCCAAATGATGGGAATGTCAATGTTAGAGTCACCTGAACACATAGAGGTCAGAGTTCAACACAGGAGTTCCTGCTTTTAAATCAGATTGAATCTGGCTAACATCCATTTCAATGTTGAATGACATTTCAATGCATGAGAGGTTAAAGCAACTTTTCCTCTTTCTGTAGGCATTAGATCAAAAATGTGTCTATATTCAGTTGACAAGGGGAGCTCAAACTTTTTGAGACCAAGATCTACTTTTTCTCTCACCAGCAGACTGAGATCTACCTCATGACATAAAGACATGAAAATTAAATATTAAACCCTATTGATTCATTTTCTATGCAAATATACTATACATCAGTTATATCAGAAATGATAAAGTGATAGAAAATCGAATGCAGTTTCTTCCTCAGTGAGATTCTGACACTGGGAGCAGGTTACTGGTTTCTCAGTCAACCTGAGGTCAGCGAGTATCAGTCAGTTATGGTAAATCTGAAATTTGGTTTGACGTCAATATGAGAAACTACAGACTGATAGGAGGAACCAAAGACCTCTGCAAAGACAAATCTTCTGAATATGGGATATAATTCATTTAATTTCACATAATTATTGAGGTAGAAGCCATTTGTTTGCTAAAACTTAATCAAATATATTTGTCCTATTTGATGTTTATTTATGGCACGTTTACTGCAAGGTAATTAGTCCAAGTTTGTCATTTATTGAACGTTCAGAAACTCCAGCGGCTGTGATGAACCACAGCAAAGGTCAATAAAGGTGAAACAACTTGAACAGGTGATCAACTCAAAACCACTCGCACCTTTTTACTCTCCATCTCTCTTTATCGTTCAAGCACACCCGTTGACATGGCAACCGCATGCACCACACAAGCCGAGCAGAGATTACATTTAAAATATGACATTCAGCCCGTTACAATATCAGGTTTCCAGGCTTGATTATTAACATACTCTTGTTGTGAGAAATAAACATGTGGCAAGGAACTAAAAAACTGCTAACCAGAGTTCTGCAGCTTCCTCCACGTTTGAGAAATCAAGGAGAAACTGTTGGCCAGAGGTTTGACCAGTCCGCCGAATGGAGGGTCTGCTACCATCACCACCTGCTCCCCATCCGCCTCTGTCAGAAATGCATCCAAAATAGCTCTGGAGGCCTGAAAGAACAACACTCCATCAGTCAGAGCTGAAAACTGCCTTAAGCTAGATCTGCAAACTCAACTCTTACCTCTCCGCCAAAGAAGTGATGATTAAACATGTTGTAGTGACAGAACTCGCCCTGACTGTAGAACTGAGCATATCTGAAACACACAAATAGTTCTGAGGCATCATGGAACCCTTCTAGACTTGTCTGTGTCTGACTGTGTTCTAGGGAATGCACACATAAAAACAGAATCACTGAATGTACCTAGGAAACCCGTGCTAGAGGCTGAAGCTTGAAACAACACAACCCACTCGGTCCACAATTCTTTAGAGAAACGCCAGAAACGAGGTGCTGTGATCCAGGTAAAGCCCAGTTCACACTACACGACTTTTTGACCCCATTTTGCCCTTACAACAATCTTAGAACATTCTGAGTTCTAAGATTGTCACTTCCTGTAGTGTGTGGTGTGTTACGACTGATCGGGTCCAGTCGGTAGAACGTCTTTACCACTTTGATCTAAAATCGGGGATATTCAACATGTTTGATCGTCTTGGCTCGTTCATCGCAGTGTCTGTGGCGTTCCCCCGACTGGGAGCGAGAAGGCAGCCTGGTGAATGTGACACACAGCCAATCAGAAAACGCTGTGACGTAAGAGCAAGATGTTAAACATTATTTTTTACTGACGGGCTCTCTGAAGAGTCAAAAGCTTAGCTTTACGGTGGTGAATTACAATGCCCTTGATGAATGAAATTGTCATAAATTTGTGGAGTGAGTGGTGGTGAGGCAGACGCTCACAGACCCAGGATATGGTGAATGACAAAGATTTAATGACAAAACAGTCCAACAAACCTGGCAGCACGGCTGAACGGAAGCCAGGGCTCACACCGGTAGCACAAGTCTAACGAATGGACAAGGCGACGACAATGACAAACAGTGACAAGGACCCGACGAGGAACAAAGGACACAGGAGGGATTAAATACACTGAGGTAATCAAGGGAACACGACTCACTTGTTCCCTTCCTGTCTTCCCAAGGGAAGACAAGATAACGAGGAGACTCAGGACACTGAAAACTCAAAATAAACACACGAGAAAACTCTGAACATGACAGTAATGTGCTTTAAAGGTAATTAGATCTCATCAAACCAGAAGTAAAGCTTTATCCTTGTTCGGAGCGGCATGCTATTGGATCGTTTCTTTTTAAATAAAGGACAGAAAAATGATCAAATTAATGCACAGAGTACATCTGGTTTAGAAGCGCATTCTAACCTCTGGTTGAAATGGCGCATTTGATTTCATTCTGTAGTAATAACACAACAGAGAAAAATACAGAAATTGTTATGCTGTGTCATTCTCTTTGTAGTCTAAATACAGGAGCAAATAGAGAAAAAGATATAAGTGCAGAAAACTGACCAGCGCAGAGCTGCAAAAATACTGTGCGGCTTCAGGAGCGATGATAGAATAATTACCATTAACTCCCCATTTGGGTTTCAATTAAAGGAGCTGGAATACGTTAACCTTTCACTGTCAGTTGGAGGGAAAAAAGGATAACTGCCATCTGATTTTCTAAAAACGAATAAACAGGAATTGCTTTCTTCTAGTTTAAGCTACTCTGATGTTTCAGTCATTGAGTTTCTGAAACAAGATCCAGTATACGCAAATATTCTACAACAACTTCAATACAGCCATAGATTATAACATTATAAGTAAACGGTAACGGTTAATTGAACGACAGAACCGAAAAAATTGAATAAAATTAAAAACAGTATTTGTTATGAGGAAAAAAAAACCTTCCACATTGTGGTACAACAGTTACAGTTCTTGCTCTCGATGTCTCCAGTTCTTAATCAACGCTTTGATTTTTGGTTACGTCCCTTTTGGGTTAAAATAAGTCCACAAACTAAAGTTACAGCTTCAACGTCGTTGCCCATGTTGGTTTACTCTAAATTCAAGTATGCAGAATTTTAAGGGATTTCGTAACTGGAAGTGGAATGTCCTTGAAATGGCTTGTAGCTGAAATGTGCTATACAAATAAAATTTGATTGATTGATTGATTGAGTGAAACCTCACATTCTACCATCGAACCCTACGATTTTAAATCGGCTCGTGTGTGTTCTCTCACGTTTTAAGAATCGGCCGACTATTCTAAAATCATGTAGTGTGAACTGGACTTAAGAGTTCTTTAAAGTACATTACTTTTTATTTTTTTAGAAGCAGCTTTTACCGTCTCCAATACTGAAGAGAAGCTTAATGGTCAGCTTGAAATGAAAGGAAAAGAATAGTAGTAGTCTAGAGATTAGAAGTCTAACACGATTACACAAGTTTTATGAAACGGGAAGTGATTTACAGTCCCAGGAAAAAAGAGTTCACAAAGACCTTTTCATTTTTTTTTTCACATTAACAACCTAAATTCTGTTTATTTTTTCAGTATTTGACAAGACAAACAAACACAATGTAATGCAGAATAATTACTTTTTACAGATCAAAATTAGGAACGTTTAACATGCATTGTTAATGAACCCTCTTTATTCTGATATCCCAAATAAAACCCTAGAGCAAATGATTGCTTTCCAGTTCACCTATGTATGATTTAATCCAAGTTTACTTTTTTTTTCTAAGAAGGTTACTCATTTCCCACAATTGTGCATAACAGACTTAATTTCAAGTTCCATGCAGATTACAGATATAAAAAATCAAGATGACTCTCTTTTGAGGGAACTGAGAGGGTAATTGCAGGTTAACACACATTGACCATGGTTTGAGACTTAGAATGACATCTCAATTTCACAAATGACATGATGGATCCCTGCATAAGAAACCCACTCAGTCCAGACAGAGTGGACCGGTCTGGACCACTCAGTCCAGACAGAGTGGACCGGTCTGGACAGAGTGTTTCAGTAGATGAAATCTGGTATAAGACTTAAAAGTATCACCAGGAATGTTTTAAACAAGAAAATACTAACATATTAATATTGACATTAATATAATCAAAGAATGAATTTAACATTTTTGACATATTTTGGTTAATTTTCAACTAGCTGCAGTTCCTGAGAAATGGCTGAAAACAAAGCATTTGTCAGTAATGGACAGCCCATTCAGGCAATTTAAGGTGAGCTTTTGGCTCCCTCTGCTGGCCTATTTGGCTTGCTGCAGGATGGAGCGAGCTTCACTCTACTGGAAATCCAGCCTGTTCAGCCTTTTCTACAATCACCCAAACGACAGTGGAAAGCGGCCAAAGATGTCCAGCCCTCTCAGGTAAATATGTGTCCGAGTTCCTTCAGGCTCTAAAACCTGGGTGGTGATTTGAAGATTTGGTTGTGTTCAGTGGCGCAAAAAGTGGGTATGCGCCCCGATGTGTGCAATGCATCGGGGCGCTGCACTAGAGGCGGCGCCAAAATGATGAGGAAATTTTTTTCTAGTCAGCATTTTCTGTATTAAACAGCTGTTTGAGCATGCATGAAATGATCTGAAATAGAGGAACGGCACTGATTAGGCGACCCCCCTCCTCATACCCTGTTCTTTCACCACTCCTCTAGTCACCCCAGCTGCCTCTCCCTATACACCCATACATAACAGGTAGCTTGGGCACGCGTCCCTTAGAGATCACACCAAGGCACGTTTTTTTTTCTTTAAAATTGTTATGGTAATGCATTTGACAACATGGATCTAAAGATGGGGCGGCAGGAAAAAAAAAAACTGGGGAGCAAAGTCAAATAAGGAAGAGAGAGAGGGATAAAGATGTTGGAGGGATGAAGAAAAGCTTTTCAAAGTGGTTGACAGACAGAAAGAAAATAATGTTAGTGTATCAAAAGGAGGGTTGTAAATATTCAGGTTAGCTTAAGCTAGCTAAGATGACAGGCGGCTGTTGTTGTCTTGTTAGGGTTGACTGTTAATTGTTGTGTCCCATATTGAACCGATACCGGGCACAATTTGTTCCGTATTTTTATACATGTCTGACAGATGCACCTGTCACACAGACCTCAACAATTATGACCAAAACAAAACACAAGAAATACTAGTCAGCTAAATTGTCGTGGCAGGAGCTGAATAGGACCTCCACATGCTGTTGTCATGGTTGCCTAGAGACGGACACTACGCAGCCGCGGTGAGCTGCTATTAACCCAGGATGGTGTAGTATCCGCCCGACACTATACCGTCCTTGAAGCAAAACCTCTGGAAAAAATACAGATGTGAGGAGGAAGACAGACATTCCAGGCTGAGTGAAAGTGGTGAAAGTCTTCCACCATGTCTTGGATCTTTCTCTTGAATATCCTCACCAGAAAACCTCAGCAGTGTGGAATTCTCTGGTGAGAACACCCCACTAGAGATATGAAGATCTCTAGTGAGAACACCTCACTAGAGATATGAAGATCTCTAGTGAGAACACCCCACTAGAGATATGAAGATCTCTAGTGAGAACACCCCACTAGAGATATGAAGAGATATCTATGGAATAACAACTAGATATGGTGCCTGATGCCCCATATCTAGTGCATCAGGCACTAGACATGGATTATCCCTCTAGTTGCTGGGGAGAGGGAAGATTGGCATTCTCTGCTAATGCCTCAAGATTTTAAAATTGTAAACATATTAAAATATACCAGGTGCAAAACTAATAACCGACTGAGCTGACTTGTCTGCAGGAGCTGCTATCCCAACTTCTCGACGAGCTAAAAGATGACAGAGCCAAGACAGACGTGCACATCCAGTCTCTGAAAAAACGCAAAACAGATCTCTGTGAGTATGGGACAGAACACTGGCAGAACTTAAACATATGATCTGCTTGCATTTCAACCACAGAACTATAACATCTGTCTGTAAGTCGTTTCCCCATCAAGCGGAACACAGAGGTAATGAAACACCAGGTGCAGGAGCACTTCAAAAACATGCTGTGTGTCCTAAAGCAGGATGAGAAGGCTGTAGTCAACTCTCTGGATATGGAGCAGAAACGGACCAGAACCAGGTTGGACCATATACTGAAGAACTGGGTGAACCATCAGGAGCAAGTCAACTGATGTCTTACTTCCACATGTCCTTCTTCTCAAGTGTCAGTCAGAGATTGTCAGGTAAGTTAATCATGTTAACTTAGAAGGTTTTATTTCATATCACCCATTGTGACGTTCCTCCGGATAATCACACATACAGTCCTAAAAGGCCCGATGCCGCAGAGAAGGATATCAAACTTAATGACAAGAGATCTGAGAAGCTTCTGAAAATCCTTTCCTCCATCTCCAAAACCTCAAGCCCTAACTTCAGAGGAAGACTATTCTGTTAGGTATTTCAAAAAAGCTTCCTTGCCCATTTTGATGCAATTAGTTTAAAATAAATTGGAAAGTGACAGGGTTATGGGTCTCCTGCGCTCTGGGGTCATCTCCTGTCACCGAAGGTGTGAGGTACTGCGAAATTGACGTCTGTTGTTGCTCCACCTGGGCAGTGGGTGTGGCCTACGGAAGCCTGCAGATGAAGGGCCAGGACAAAGGTGCCAAGCTGGGTCGGAATAGGAACTCCTGATGCATGGAGTTCAAGAAAGACAATCTAACATCATGACACAACGACCGACATGTGGTGTGTCAGGGTGCCGGGCAGAGCCCACCAGGGAGAGTGGGAGTGTGGATGAATTATGATAATGGTCAGTTGATGTTTTATGATGCATATAGTATGGTTTTACTGCAAAGGCTTTCAGCAGCCTTGTCTCCAGTGTTTGACAGGGCGCATCACCAGTTCCCAGAGCCATTGTTCCAATATTGAAACCAGCAGAGAACCAGAATTGCCCAAACCATCTAGAGTTCTGTTATTCCCTTTAAATCTACAAGTCCATTGTGAATCGTCACGAGGATTCACCAATTAACAGTTTCTCCCTCCCTCCTTTTGAGATCTCTGCGGCACAGTTGATTTTTCTTGAAATGAACATGATAATGGTCAGCTATGTTTTTGAGATTCATATAAACTTCAAGTGTTAATGCTGTTGTAATTACCTTTTTTCATGCGTTTGTCAAACCTTTTTTGGCCTGGGTTTAGTGTTCTCAAAGATCTCCACACAGTATCCAACAATACTCAAGACAAAAACTATTTTTAATAAAGATGTGTTTTTTTTAAATGCTACTTGTTTGTTAATCCAGTCTTTCACAAATATTCCCACCCATTGTGTGTATTTTATCCCATGCTTTGTGATGCTGGATGGACATCAAAGATAGACAGACACTTCAGATGCTGCCGCCACAATGCTGCACCACTGTGAAGGCACTTTCTCATGGTGTTTCCTAGGTTAGCAGCAGACCCTAACTCCTTACCCTGACTTTTTATACTTTTCATATAATAGCATTACCCTAACCCATTTGCTCTAGAGCACAGATGTCAAACTTCAGTCCTCAAGGGCTAATGTCCTGCAGTTTTTAGATGTTCCACAGGTACAAAACATTGGAATGAAATGGCTTAATTACATCCTTGTGTAGATCAGTTCTCCAGAGTCTTAGTGACCTAGTTATTCTATTCAAGTGTTGTGCAGTAGAGGTACATGTAAAACGTGCTGGACACCGTCCCTTAAGGACTGGAGTTTGACACCCCTGTTCTCCAGCTTTTTGACAAGATCACAAATATGTTTTTTTTGTATTGAACGGTCTAAATAATTTCCACCAGGGGTCACAATAACAGAATATTTTCCCACTTTTGACTGGGGTTTCTTAAACGGAGAAATCTGAATGACTGAACTTATGAACAGGAAGGTTTAAATAATAGGGGCCACAGATACTGGCTGTTAGGGGTTAGGTTTGCCTATTGAGTTTTGAAGTCTACATTGTTATTATAATTGACATTTTCTGTTCTTCAGTGAATTATTAAAATTAATTCATTGTCTAGTACTAAAATATAATATATTTCAAAATATTCCAAGAGAAAAGTTGAAATGTGAGTAACTCTCTCAAAGCAGCCTATTCCAACAGTAAAGTATAGGAGGGTTAATGATTTGGGCTTCTAGTGCAGCAATAAGACATGGGGAGCTTGCTCCCATTGACAAAACACTCGAAAAAATGAACAAATAAAGAATATAGTCAAACCTACCTGAAATCAATGTCCAGCAATAAACTCTTCATTGGCTCCAGCTTTCTCAGCTTGATCAGTTCCTGTAGTCTGGCACAAACCGCCACAACTGTTATTAACAATGTAAGATTAAGATTTCCATAGTCAAATTTTTGTAGCATGTACAGTGGCCCAGAAGGATCAAAAACCCAGTAAAAGTCACAACAGAAGTTGTGGTATTCATTGTTTTATTGTGGTTTTTACATTTTGCTGACACTCCTGGCCCACCATAGATAGTATAATACAAATTTATACTATCTATATAAATTTGTTATGACATATGAGTTATGACATATGATATGAGTTATGACATATGATATGACACATGCTCATAACCACCCTGTTTAATTTGTAATGAAAACAACATAGGGCCAGGAATGGAACCTTTCGGAACTCCTGATTCCCTGTCAAATCACAACCTGTGAAGGCAACTCGAAGCCTTGAGTCATTTTGTGATTTCAATAAAATTACTCAAAGAAAAGGTGTGCCTGCCTAATGCGGTGAGACCCTTAAATGTAATCTGTCTCACCTAGGTGTTCCCACACACAGCACCTTTTTAAATCCCAGACCAGCTAAAGTATCCAGCAGGAAGTGTGCACTGCGATCGGTGAACAGGTACTGGGCGTTGCTCTTCTTATTGGCTAGCGGACGCAGCAGGATGCTGGGCCTCCTCAGCTGGGCCGCAGTGACCACTGTGGTCCTGTGGGCAGAGTGAGCGCTGTGCTCTGCAGGCAGGAGAAGGATCTGACAATCCTCACAGAACTTCTTCTCAATAAATGGGAGCAAAGCAAACTGCAGAAACCTGAGGAGACAAGCTTTGGTCAGTTAATATTCTCATTCATTTGTTCATTCATAAAGTATCAAAGACAAGACCAGTTCGGAGCTTATGAGAACAACTCTTACCTGCTACAACATTCCTGCTGAGTGAACCGAGGCCTCTTTGACAGCATCTCTGCTTCTCTGGACAGCATCCTGGCTTTTGACACCTTTAATTGAAATGTATCAAAGTCATTTACCTGCAACACTTAATATCCAAACATTACAAGTAACTTTTACATACCTTTTCATCTTCCCACTGAAAAAAGCCGCAGTCTTTCCTGTCACGACAGGCTGAGCATGCATAAAACCGCCTGCCCTTATTGCCTCCATTGCCAACCTTCTCAAAAAGTAAAGTAGGACCTGTTGAAACACAGGATGTGATGTCACTATCATTTTATCTCTTAGGTACCTGGCTAATGTTACGAGTGGAAAACCAATGTAATTGAATCAAGCTGCACTGAGCAGGTACTAGGCTACCAATACATGCACCACTAGTAAAGTCAATACTATTGTCATTATTCTGCTGAGAATCATGACAAGAGATTTGCTAAAGAAAACCAGCAGATCACGGAACAGCATCTTTAAATATTCTAGATTTGCATCTTGAGAAATAAGCCTAGACTCTTTAAAGTTCACTGATTTCAAAACGTTTTTTAAATATGAACACAAAGTTAATCACTCAGAGCTATTGATTTAACACGTGCAGTTTTCGAAACGGCCTGTTTTGCTGTTTTTGCAGCTCTCCTGTCCACTCACCATGCGGACAACGAGGCGCTGTTTTTCCCTCCTCTGGAAGAATCACTTCTATTCCACAGCTGTCGATATTTGCCTCGGTAACCTCCATGTCTGACTTGTTCCGGTTCCTAGCTTCTCCCCACAACTTCAAATACAACAGCGAAAATACCAGAATCAAAGTTCTAAGTCGCGCCCATTTTACGTTCTTCCTGTCGGAGATGTCATTGGAACAACACGTAAATCTGGCCGCCATATTGAAAAGGGAGACAGAGACCATGTAACATTAAAAAAACGGGGCTTTTTGATAGCAGCGGCAAGATATGAGCACTTTATTTCTGACCAGTTTTCCTGTTCCTGTAGGTAGAGTGAACTAGAAACACGGTGCAAACTTGGTTTTAAATAGAATTGCTTTCTCTTTATAACATTCATTCATGTTTGTCTTCTCATGATGTAAAGACAGTTTTCATCATCAGCGTTGATTGGTCCTAATAGGAATCTTTGACATGAAAACGTGGTTGTTATACACAGTTCTGACGAAAATAACAGACAATTAATATGACATTCTCTGTTATTGAACAGACAATATCTGCATTTTTAACATTTTTCGATTTGTATGAGCGTTATGAGATACATTAATCTCCATAATTCATATGAAACTATGAACACAATGGTTTGCCAAATGGAAGGATGAGGAACAAAATATCAACATGCGTACAAAGACTTTGACGGATGGACGGACGGACGGATGGACGGATGGACGGATGGATGATGGAAATTGATGGATGGATGGATGGATGGATGATGGATGGGCGGACGGATGGATGGATGGATGGATGGAAACACACAGTATAAAATACAAAGGGATCTGAAATAAAGTTTTCACGCCCTCAGATGTTTTACTCATTTTACTGCTTGTACAATTTCATCAGAATCAACCAAATTTGTTGGAGTTTTTCTTTTCTACATAAAAAGGACTGCTGGAGCCAATTGGTTGTATCTCAACTGAATTGAGATACAACCAATTAGTTGAGAATTATTTGAGACAAAAGGGGTAAACATTTATGTAATCTCATACATTTATTTAACTGTGTCTCAGTATGTTGTAGAAGTCAGTTTTCATTTGACATTAATCGGTTCTTTGTAATTATTTTTTCTCAGTTAAACATTTTTTTGACCTTGAGTGTTTTGTAAAATAAATGTTAAAATTGGGGGTTGCGGCCTGCAGAGAGAAATCAAAATTCAATCCAGGTCAAATAAAGTAACATAAAAACAAATGTGTCAATGAAATTAAATAAACCCTTTATCATTTTTTATAGACTACATCTCCCATGTTTTCTATCGCCAGCAGCAGAATGGCGCTGGATCCTCTATCAGATCGCTTTCTGTTACCAACACGAAACCGGAAGCTTGGTGATATGTTGCCTCCAAAATAAAATTCAGAGACTGACGAGCGGTTAGAATGTTTGGAGGAAAAAGAGGACAAAAACAAAAGTTAGGTCAGTATGGAGGACCAAAACTGACATATTAAAAATGATAGCAGAAATAGCACAATAAATAAATTATATATATATATATATATTTTTTTATTTTATATATATATATATATATATATATATATATATATATATATATATATATATATATATATATATATATAATATATATATATATATATATATATATATATGGATGGATGGATGGATGGATGGATGATAGATAGATAGATAGATGATAGATAGATAGATAGATAGATAGATAGAGATAGATAGATAGATAGATAGATAGATAGATAGATAGATAGATAGATAGATAGATAGATAGATAGATAGATAGATAGATAGATTAATGTGAAAGGTCATGGCGGAAGCGACTACATCGATGGCAGTCTAACTTGACTCCAGCGGCGCTGCCCCACGGTGCACCCACACCCAGCCTGCGCCTTGTGCTGATCGCGGGGGGAAACCGGAGCAGCTCCGCAGTGGATCCCACGCAGGACATTGTGTTGTTGATGCGGCTGTTGGTGGAGGTCTGAGCGGCCTCAGCAGACAGGGACACCCCGGAGTCATCCCCCTCTCGTCCCCATCACTGCAGACTGCTGTCTAAGGCTGCTGCTGCTGCTGCTGCTGCTGCTGCTGGCATCATCCATGTAGGCTCATTGTGGACGGAGTTGTTTACTAAGCATCATCTGATTGACGAAAACATCTGACTGCTATCATGAGCAGCACTGGTAAGAAAGTCATTGCTAAAGGGTTTGACTGCTGGTAGAATGAGGGGAATTTCATTGCTATTTCCATCAGATCTGGTGTTGTGTTGATCAGCACTTCGTGTGTTGTTGCTCTGTCATTGTTTATGCTATTTTTCGTTTCTTGAGTAAACATTTTGTCACACTTATGCACAAACATATTGTTTGTTAATCATATTTCTTTGACAAATCAATCATGTTTGCTCATTACAGAGGATGTGGTGTACAGAGCTTTTTCTCTAATGGGACACTGCAGTCACTCCTTGTTCAGACTGAACCCCGGCAGGTCTCTGTCCTGGTGGGCTGCTGCTGCTGCTGCTGCTGTCACAGCTGCTTTTGTCTCTGTCGATCCTAATGGAACAAATAAAGGGAACCTTCATCTAAACCCTGCCCCACTGCAGTTCTGAAAGTGCACAGTAATAAAAATGCACGTTTTAGTCAATGCTGCAACTTCCACAATATACACATGACAAGAAAAAAATCTAAACATTTTGTCACATTAGAAGCACAAATGTTGATATATTTGATTGTATTTTATTTGACAGACTAAGACATGCAAAAGTAAGGTGAGAGGAAGATGTTTTTTCTCAATAAAATTTGAAAAGTGCAGCACTCATATGTGTTCCTTTTATCTGGCACTCCTAAATAAAATCCATCCTATCCAGTTTCATTTATAAGTCTGAGAATGACCAAATACACAGAGTTGACTCTGTGTGGAGTATATTGACCTGTTTTGGGATCCATTCTCAGTCTTGGGCCACTTGCTACATGACTTCCCTTTTTCCTGTTATTCTACTTTTCATTAATGGCCACTAGTGGCAAAAAAAAGAAAGTTCAAAATGGAGGTCACATCTATCCATTTTAGCTTCCCTTTATTGACTCCTTGTTTAATCCAGAGTAGAATTTCAAAGTCTTCTTCTCACATATAAAACACATAATTATCAAGCTCTGTTATATATCAGATTGTTCCAGATGTTCCATCACTTTGCTCTCAGACTTTATGTTTACTGGTGGTTCCTAGAGTTTCTGAAAGTAGAATGGCTCCCAGTTATAGTCCATGAGGTAGATATCCTGTCTACCTTCATTATAAAGCCTATACTGGCTTAGCTAAACTGTCTCTGAAGTTACACTACAGGAGGACATGATGGCCCCTTTTCCTAACTGCTACTTTCTCCTACTGCTCTCCAGTCTTGCATTATTAGTTGTTATTCCAGTTTTTAACTTCATATTCTGTGTTTTTTCTTTTCATTGAAGCTATGTCTGCTGTAGTGTTTAGCTGTGAATCCTTCCTGGGTTAACATAGAAAGTACTCCTAGATCAATGGCTTTGTTTTTATTGTGTACCTGCTTTGTCTCTTTTCCACATTCTACATGAGAGAATACTACAAACATCTCAATGTAATCTACTGTCCACTTTCTCAGAGCTGCAAGTCACTGGAAAGCTGGAATAAAAAACTGAAAGTGAATACATTGTTTCACAACAATAAAACTGGAGTATATATCAGATAGTGTAGTGCCGTATGACAAGGTATGAAAACATTAGATATTTAACCTAAACTGAAGCGTTACGGTACTGTGAAGAGATTTGAGGCTGATTCAGAAAAAAGATGATTTGTACAGATAAAGGCATAATGAAGAAGGTTTCTGTTAGACAAATTCATGGGATTAAGAGAGCAGCTGTTAAAATGTCCATACAAAGCAGCAAACAGTTATTTGAAGCTGCTGCTGCCTCCAGAGCCTCAAGGTGGAGGATCCTCCAGAGGCTTGTGGTGCATCAACCTACTATTGGGCCTCTAACCAGCTCACAAGCAGAAACAGTCGCAGTAGATTAAACAGACATGTAGATCAATTTTCAAACAGACTTGTTCACTAATGACTGCTGTGCAACCCTGGATGGTCCAGAGGGACGCAGTAGTGGATTGGTGGTGGACGGCCACCACGTTCCAACACAGCTGTGATGTCAGCAAGGAGGAGGTGGAGTCATGCTTTGGGCCCAAATCATGGGGAGAGAGAGAGAGATGGTCGGCCCCTTCAGAGCCCTGAAGGTGTTAAAATGACCTCAGCAAAGAATATGGATTTTCTGACTGATCATGGTTTAAAAAGAAGAGCCGTACCTTCCGTAGCAAAATCATCTTCATGCATGACAATGAATAAAGCAAGGAATATCACTGTGTCACTGGCTGCTATGGGCATAAAAGAGGAGAAACTCATGGTGTGGTCACTATCCTCCTCTGACCTCTGACCCTATTGAGAACCTTTGGAGTTTCCTCAAGCAGAAGATCTGAGGGTTGATGCAGTTCATATCAAACAGCAGCTCTCGGAAGATATTCTGACATCCTGCAAAGAATTTCAAGCAGAAACTTTCCACAAACTCACAAGTTCAATGGATCAAGAATTGTTCAGATGATATCAAAGAAGGTCCAATGTTAATATGTAACTTGGTATGTTAAGATGTTTTTGATTGAAATAGCTTTTGATTTTAATACAAGTGACCACTTAATGCTGCACATTCAAAGAATGACCGTTTGCAGTTCTTTATAATCCCTAAAATATTTTGAAAATTTCCTGTGCATAATAATTTTCGCATTTTGAGTTTTTTATTTTTGAAATGGGGAGCTTTGTTCAGTAAAATTTGATTTATATTGTAATAGTTCTTGACATGAAAATTATACTAACCATCATTTGCATTGGCCATTTAATAAAATCTGAGAAAATATCACTTGCATAATAATTTGGAACACAGTGTGTATTTTTATGAATCTCTGCTGTAAAGCAGAGATTCATGTTCTGCAAGAATTTGATTGAATATATGTATGTGCACACCAGTTTCCAAAATTGTATAGCCTCATTGTATTGTTCCAGTCTTCTCCTTCATGCTGTCCTGATTCTCAATCTCATTTTGTTTGAGCCAATAGATTCACAGAAATCTATTGGCTGAAG